TTGAAATGCAAAAATGAATCAAGGGAAGTGCGTGTCATTCATGTCACAATAACAATTGTGCATTTTGTGAATATGATAAATGTACTATTTGTCAAGACAATTTTTATATAGATGATAGTGAAAATTGTCAAAATAACGATATAATATTATCAAATGGAATAAACCCTATTTCACGTGGAAATAATTATTATATTAAAAACTCAATTTGTTATGACTGTTTTACACAAAACATAAGTTGGTTAACATGCGACTTTAAAAAGCCATTGTCGTGTTCAACCAATTTCTATATGACAGATGGTGGAGAATGTGTTTCAAATGTATGTGGAGTTGATGATATGAAAGTACAGAATGGGCTTTGTGTAGAAAATGACATTAATTGTAAATACATTGTAAATAACAAATGTATCGAATGTGTTCAGGGCTATCTTTTAAACGCGTATTTTAAATGTACTAAAAGTAATACAATCGAACATTGTATCGCAACTAATAACATTTCGTGTTATTTATGTAAAGAAAATTATTTTATAGAACAAAACAAATGCACACAATGTGAAGGAAATTGTTTTAATTGTGTTTATAATTCGACTTTTTGTCTTTCGTGTCAAAACGGATATTACCTTAATAACCAACATCGTTGTGTCTCAAATGAGTTGTTACTAGAAAAGTGCGAAAAGACGTCACCAATAACAAGTGGGTGTGTTGAGTGTAAAGAGGGGTATTATCGCCTTGGGTTTAGTTGCAACGATTGTGATGTAAGTTGTGGGACTTGTAACAATAATATGAAATGTCTAACTTGCAATTATACAAACTATCGTTCGGGTGATGGAAACTGTAAACCACAAAATTACATTGTTGGCTGTCAATTAAAAGTAACAGACGATGGATGCACAAGGTGCTCCGATGGGTATTTCACAATTAACACAAATGAATGTCAAAAATGTGATGATAATTGTTTGACTTGTTCATCTAACAACATTTGCACTTCTTGTCCTTCAAACGAAGTATTAAAAAATACGAAGTGTGTTGATCTTTCTTCTATACAATTTTGCAACAAAGTTTCACATTCCAAGTGCTCAAAATGTTCATTTTGGAAAGCCCCAAGTGATGATGGAACTTATTGCATTTCAAAAGTGGTTTGGTGGGTCTACTATTAGTTGTTCTCTTTGTTTTATTTGTAATAACCATTTTATGTGTTGTATTCTATGTTGTGATTAACCAAATTTTTAAATACATCAACATAAAAGATCAAGAAAAATGTTCAACTGTCTTTAAAATGCTAAAGTCGAATATTAAATTCGTGTCACTTGGTGATGGAATTGAAGTGAATACGACACACGTTGTTTTTAATGAAGGAGAAGAGGTGGATATATCAACCAAACAACGTGAATTGTTATGTGTAGGAAACTCCACAAAACACAACATGAAAATTCAAATAACAGCGAAAGATACTGATACACACAAATTTGTGTTTACATCAAATCAACATCTTATGGTATTACGAAAAGGAGAAGCTTGTGAATTTAAGTTGTTTGTTGAAGTTCTCTGTACAACAAAAGTTGAAAGTGATTTTATGTTAGTTGCAAATTCATATGTATCAGAAAGGGAATTGTATAAACCCATTAGTTTCTCAATAGTATCTAAGTTGTCTTCTAAATTAGATCCAGATGAATTAAAAGAAAACACGAAACTTGGAGAAGGATCGTTTGGTATTGTGTATAAAGGTATCTTTAGAAAAGAAATTGTAGCAATTAAAAAAATGAGAGAGGTGAGTGATACAGAAAACGCGATTATAGAATTTGAAAAAGAAGTTTCCATGTTAGACAAGTTCAGGAGTGAATTTATTGTTCACTTCTATGGTGCCGTGTTCGTACCAAACAAAGTGTGTATGATCACCGAATTTGCTCCATTTGGAAATTTACAAGACTTGATGAAACACTACCAAAGTGAAGAAATTGATGTGACGCTTCGTGTTAAATTTATGTTGGACGCAGCAAAAGGAATATCGTATTTACACACAAATGGGATATTACACAGAGATATTAAACCAGATAATTTTCTTGTGTTTTCACTTGATTTAAATCAGCGAGTAAACGCAAAGTTGACTGATTTTGGAAGTGCTAGAAATGTCAACGTAATGATGACAAACATGACATTCACTAAGGGTATTGGAACACCAAAGTACATGGGGCCCGAAATTTTAAATAAAAATAAATACAAGAAAAGTGCAGATATTTATTCGTTTGCAATTACCTTGTTGGAAGTTCTTACTTGGGTAGAACCATTTCCAAAAGAGATTTATAAATTTGGATGGTCGATTGCTGATTTAATATCGATCGGCAAACGACCATCAACTATTTTAAAACTCGAAAAAAAGTATCAAAGCATCATTGAAAATGCATGGAAACAAGAACCAAAAGAACGAAGTGATATTAATACTATTATCGCTTGTTTGGAACATCTTTAATTCTAAATACTGATATTTACATAAGTATAAAATAAATGAATATCTTATTTCAATTGTTTATTATATAAATAAAATGTGTTGTTTTCATCATAAATATAACATTAATCCAGTAAGACCTCAATTATTTCCAATTTTTTATTTTAAAAACCTCGACATTTTCCAAATTGAACATTTTGAATTTTGTCGTAAATTGTAATATTAGTTAATAATTTGTGATATGTAAATATTTGCAGCAAAAAACAAATTTATGTAAAAACACAGTTAATTATATTATGATTAATTTTTAAAAAATCCTTAAATTTTTGAAACCAAATAAGTATTATATTCTGGCTATTGTTCAATTAATTGAAGAAATTGATTTACTTTTGTTGATGCACAATTTATGTGAACTGTAGTTATCAACTATCAATATAATTTTTTCATCCTGAGTAACAGTGTTTATGTTATTATCCAAATTCTATAAAGTTTTTATAGTGTGTTTAAAAACCGAAAATGCCAAATAATTATTGTTTAATTAAATTTAAGGGTTTCTTGAGGATAAGGTGTATCACCGGGATCAAAGCTATCCTTATTAAAATATATTTTTCTGAGGATACAAAAATCAAATCCATAAGGTTCAGTTCTACATAAGGCCCACTTTCATAACTCAAGTTATAATTTACACTTAATATTTCGAGTCACAGTTCGAATTTTAAATGATGGTAATAATTTGTCATAAATGCCAAAAGATTAAAAACAATCGAAAAAAGTTACGATAATTTATAAATATAAACAATAATTATATCTCGCGAACTTGAGACGGGAAATAACAAAGTGTGAATTGTACTTGTTCATATTATGATTATATACTTATTGATATTATTTCCGAATCCGTTTTAATAACAAAACAATTCAAATTTACGTTTAAATTGATAATTGTTTTTTTAATCAAAATGAGAATTGAAAAAGTCGAAAACATTGATTTAATAAAAATGTGATTTTAAAATAACAAATTTATTAATAATTTTGTAATTTATGCAATTATTCAAATTTATTGTAATAACAAAGTTAATCATATTGTGTATATTTTGATATGATTGTTTCATTTTGATATTAACTTGTGTTTCAAACAAATTTACAGTTCTGATGATGGCAATTATTTTCTGAGGATGACAGAAATAGAAAGTTTACACTTTTACGTCTGTCTGAAATGGATATTGAGTAAGTTACTATTTTTGAATATGGGAACACGTCATTTCACTTCTTAGATGTTTAAGTCCGTGTTGATAATGTCTGTTTGTTACATGACTTACCATCCTCAGAGATATGTATAGCACTGCCACTATTGATTTAAAATTCTATAAATAAAATTATCAAAGAATTTTTATAAAGTGGGTTTTTGTTAATTGATTATATCAATTAATCGTCAAAACACAACAAAAACGCCAAATAATATATAAAATTGATTAATAAATTGAACACATTTTTATTGAGAATTAATATTGTATTATATAAAATATTAATATAAACATATATTTCTTGTGTATATATGTTTTTAAAAATAAATAAACCCGTTTATAACAAAAACAATAATTTTACAAATTTGTTCATTTATCAGTCGTTGTTTTATCGATATCCAAAACCTCGCGTTTTGAATTTGCGCAAATACATAAATTGTCATCGCATAAACTATACGTTATTAATACGTTATTTGCTATCAATTTTTATTGTTTGAAATATCATGAATTGATTTATAATAAATTGTATTTTTTGTAAAAAAGATTAAAAATTGTTAGATTAATTTGTTTTGTGATTTTGATTAAAAAATCGACTTTTTGATAATTTAAATGTCTGTCAAATGTTTTCATTTAAACCAAAGTTAGTCTTGTGGTAAATCAAAATATAGAAATAGATTATTTTTTTGTAAAAATTAACTGAAAGAATCATCTTTCAAAAAATCCATAAATAGCATTTTTAAAGAAAATCATGTGTTTCAAAATATACCTTATTTATCTTAGGCAAAAAAATCCAAATTTAAAGAAATTATGTTTAAGATATTTACCATCCTCAGAAAAATTAACAATCCTCATGAATCCCTTTAATTTAATTGTAAAATAATTAAAATTTAAATTACATCGCATTTTTTCCAAATAACTTCAAACAACCAATCAGGTCTTTGAAATTGACGAAGTTTGAAATTGTCGAGGTTTGGAAATAATCGAGGTCTTACTGTATGTAACATATACCATATTTACTTTAATTTAACTATAAAAATAATATAATAGTACAATATAGATGAACTAGGATCATTAGAACAATTAGGGCAACTTTAGAAAAAAATGTAAAACGGTAAAAAAATACATTTTTGGAACAAAACCCTTCATAGACAATAACATTATTTTAACAACAAAAATTCAAATAACACAATTCAAACAACAATTTATTAATAACATTATTCATAAAAGAAAATACCAATAACAAAATCCAAATAACAAAAAATATAACAATTAGTTAATAATTTAAGAGATATGCTTTTCTCTCGTCGATTTTCACCTCTTATCCCAAGCCGCAGCAAATTTTGATTGTTTTAACTGGGTTTTTAAAACCAGTTATAGACACCTCTCATAGTAATACTACTTGAGAGGTTTTGTATCACTTTGGTTGTTGCTTTCTATAATGTTAATGGATACAAACGAATTAATAAAACGGATAAAATGAAACAAACAGTATAAAATAAATTGATTTTTCGATTTTTTTTAAATAATTAAAATTTTTAGTTTAAGACCTGCTAAATACTTGCACGAACCACTTGGCATTATTTTTATAAGAAAAAAATTGAAAAAGAGACAAAATAATTTGTAAAAAGATTAAAATTCTTGGTTTGAAAATTCAAAAACGAATAGTATTGTAATTGACCAATAAAAAAGCAAATTTTAGTGTTGAACCATCTTTTTGAAAATTCAGAATCATATTTTTTTAAAAAAGAAAAGTCTAAACAAATAATGCATCAAACTGTTTTTTGACCAAACATCATTTTAAAATGAAAGATTTTTTGTTTTTTATGAATAAATGATAAAATTCGAAAGATGTGTATTTTTCGAAGACATATCTTTTTATTTTTTGAAAAATATAATTATCATAACTTCGGACTGTGTGATCGAGAAGTGGTGAAATTTAAGGAAATATTCAACATAAATTTTATAAGCTTATTCAATATTCAAACATTTGTATTTAAGCCTCTAAATGCACAAATAAATCAAGATGTGTCATTTCAAAAAACATATCTTTTTTTATTTTTTCTATTTTCCTTCTTTAATTTTAAACTTTAACGTTTTTGGCTAAAAAACAGGATTTTTATAAATGAATTAAACATATCAAATCTCCAATAAATCAGTTGAAGTTCGGGGCTGTTATTTTGACTGGAAACAACGGAAAGAAACAGAAGACGTGTTGCTGCTTGACGTTGCGCCATTGACACTTGGCATTAAAACAGTTGGTGGTGTGATGACGACACTTATCCCACGAAACTCGACGATTACAGCAAAGAAGTCACAGATCTTCTCAACATATGCAGACAACCAGCCAGGCGTGTTCATCCAAGTCTTTAAAGGTGAGGCATCCATGACATCACACTGCAACATGCTTGGCAAGTTTGAGTTGTTTGGCATTCCACCCGCACCACGTGATGTCCCACAAGTAGAAGTCATATTTGACACAAATGCAAATGGGATATTGAATGTCTCAGCTGAGGACAAGACAACAGGAAAGAAGAACAAGATCATAATCACAAACGACAAAGGAAGACTATCAAAGGAGCAGATCGACAAGACGGTTGCAGACGCAGAGAAGCTCAAGGCGGAGGACGACAAGATGAAAGAGATTGTCGAGGCGAAAAATGGACTTGAGAACTTCTGCTACTCAATGAAAAACACACTCAACGAGCAAATTGCAGCAAAGCTCTCACCAGACGATAAGGAAGCAATTATCAAGGAGACACTCGACTGGCTCGACAAGAGCCAATTGGCATCAAAGGATGAATACACACAGAAACAAAAGAAATCTGAGGCTAAGGTAGAGCCGTTTTTATACAGATATCGACAGAATAAAACTGGAACATCAAGGAGTTTACAACAAAAAACCAACGAATAAACAAAGGTTTTATAAAAAAATATGTTTTTTGCAGTTTTCTACAAAATAATTGAACAGAACATTAATTATACTGTTTAATACATTTATGGTTTTAAATAAATTATATTAAATAAACCCCATAATAGTCACATTTGATAATTATTCATTTTAAGAATTAAATATAATCACAAAGAGTTATTGAAGTGTTCTTATGGTGGGTTTGGTTTAAATTGTATTCAAAATAATAGTAAATTTAATAATTTGTTAATTTAAATAAATATTATTTAAAAAGTGATAATTCGTAATAGTAAATATACTAATGATAATTAATTAAATTATACTTATAAATACAGACTGAAAAAGTAATATAATTAAATGTTGTTAATAATTAACGTTACTATTAAATTTATTATAATATATTATAACTTATCTATAGCTTTTTTGTTAATAATTAACTATTGTTTTCTTTTATAATGTTAGTATAATATTAGTTTTAATATAATTATCCAAAACAATTACTGTAAAAAGAAACACAAATAAAAACCATAATAAATAATTAATTTTAATTATGATAATAGATCAGTTTCTTTCTTATCAAACATTTTAATAAAAGATGATTTTGTATTCTTATTTACTATAATAATATTAAATTGTTATTAAATTTTTGATTGTAAGAAGTTCAATTCTCGTTGTTTTTGTTTTATTATTGTCAATATTAATGATCTTAAAATCAAAAATCAATCTGTAAAACCGAAAATCGGTTTCTAATTCATTCTTTTTAACCATTGAAAATTCTATTTTTTTCATTACTTTTCCAAAACTTTTTCTTTTAAAAAAATGTTTATTTTCTTTTTTGACCATTTTTTGGAAAAAACGTATTGCCACATAGGCTC